TTTTCTCAAAATATTAAAATATTAATTTAATAAAAATACAATTGTTTAGAATGGAGCAGAAAATGGCTCACTTAAGTGATGGGACACTACGTACTGTGCAACAAAAATCGTCTGAAGTAAGCAATAAAAATATCTTTTGGGGTATTTATTTTTACTCAAAAGCAATTGCCAATAATTTATAAAATCGTCTGCAGTATTTCTCTCCAGTTTGTTTTGGAATTTTTGTGTTTTTTAGCTCTGTGCAGCCATGAATGCTAAACGAAAAGAAACTTTGCCTGGAATTCGAAAATTAGTTATTAATTTGCATATTGAACGTGGAAAATCTATTAGAGAAACTGCTGAAACAGTTAACCTCAGTCATTCAACAGTTTTCAATATCATTAAACGATATAAAAAGAATCATATGATTCAGGATAAAAGAAGACCTGGCCGACCATCAAAGCTATCCAATGGAATAAAGCGAATTATCGTTCGAAATATTAAAAAAAAATCCAAGAATGAGTGCTCCTAAAGTTGCTGCTGATTTACAAGCATTATATGGAGTAATTGTTAATTCTGAGACTATTAGAAGAGTAATTATTCGATCTACTGGATATCACGGTAGAGCAGCCAGGAAAAAATTCTTCGTAAGTGAGTGAAAAGAATAGAAAACTCAGACTGGCTTTCGCAAAATCCAACATAAATAAGAATTCTGATTACTGGTAATGAAGTTATATTTGCTGATGAGAGTAAATTTAATATATTTGGTTCTGACGGTAGAATCTTGGTGTGGAGAAAACCCAGGGAAGAATTTCGCAAACAGAACTTGGTGCCAACAGTAAAACATGGTGGAGGAGGAGTTATGGTATGGGGGTGTATGTCGTCCGCTGGAGTTGGTAATCTTGTTTTTATTGACAGTGTAATGGATCAGTACAAGTATATTGACATTTTAAATCAAAATTTGAAATCTTCAGTACGAAAATTGAACCTTCATAACGATTTTAAATTCTACCAGGACAATGACTCCAAGCACAGTGCTTTGAACGTTAGACTCTGGCTGCTGTATAACTGTCCTGAAATAATAAAAACACACCCCCCCCCCAATCTCCACAATTAAATACCATAGAGAATATTTGGCAAGAATTGGAATCAAGAATTCGCAAACACACCATTTCTAAAAAACAACAGTTAAAATCGGTGCTTCAAGAAGAATGGGGTAAAATCACAAAAAAATTAGTCGAATCCATCCCAAGAAGATTAAATCATGTTTTAAAAGTAAAAGGAAATCCAACAAAATATTAAAACCTTTTAAAAAGTAAAATTTTTGGATAAATATTTGATGGAAAAGTAAGTGTCCCATCACTTAAGTGAGCCATTTTCCGCTCCATTCTAAACAATTGTATTTTTATTAAATTAATATTTTAATATTTTGAGAAAATGTATGTTATGTAATAATTGTTACTAAATTTAAGCATGAAACACACCCACAAAAAATTTTACATGTTTTTAAAATTTATTTTATTGCAGTTTACTTTTGTAAAGCATAAGTGTCCCATCACTTTTTTGAGACACTGTATAGTCTTATAAGACAATTAAGGCATCCAGCCTTAATATTCTTAGGCAGATAAGGCAAGTTGAAGGTCAGGATCACGTATTTTGTACCGATAAACGGACCTTCCTTACACATCCCTATCCGCTTCGCACCACAGGTATTTTGATCCGGAAGTTCGGAAACGATATCTTCTCCATAAAAACAAACAGAAGGTCGACTTCTTAGATGACACCTAGACAATAATTCAATGTTTTATGCGCTGGTACAGTGACAGTGGCATATCCAAGTTTGGTTATTCGAAGTAAGGAAGCAGCCTGGCTAGCCGAAGTTGTACCATAAGCAAGTCTCAGTTATGGAGATATTTTATATTTCTTGGCTCACCAGTATAAAAATGAATGTTTTAATTTATTATGAAAGCAGATAACTTTTGTAGCTCGCCAGAAGGACTAGACACAACAAGGAAATGTTCACAATTACTAGGATTATTCACATTTAATCGGTACGTATCTTTTTGATGGTTGACTCTTTGGATGATTCAGCAGTTTGAGATATTTTACAAGATACGGATTTTTATCATCTAAATTGATATATTTAAATCCCTGTTCGAATGAAATAAGAGTCAAGTCCGAACGTCCCACCCAACACGGAGCCCAAAAAAGGTAACTTAGATTCTTGTATTAGGGCTAGCCGAACACTGAAACTTTCCCTAAAGCTTATCCCCAAACCGCCGACACAAAGGTCAGCAGACCAGACGACTGACACCAGTGAAGATAACTAAGAGCCTCCTATTAAGCTGAAGGGAAGCCAAAGCGGATAGCTGGGAACAGGACTTCGCCCCTCAAATAACAGGACATTCCTACTCAACGACACGGGACTCCACACAAGGCAAACACATGGGCAGTTTTCTCGCTACTCAAAGTTAGATACAAGAGCTATAATAGCATCTAATGACAAGCCCTAACCTTTAAAGAGAGAATCTACAAGGAATAAAATAAAGCTAAAAGTAGTAGCGATAAAGAAGATAATAAGAAAAGGAGAAATATCTCTAGGGATCCAAGAACATGACATCCGTCTCACCAAGACGATGATCCCCTTGAAGGGCTGAGGTATTTCGGGATGGTCACATCTATACCCACAAAGCGAGCTTGTGAGGGTCAAGGAGACCTGAACAAGGTCGACCAAAATCTGGACTGGATCATTAGACTGCTAAATCTTCACAGCTCTCACGTGAGCTGTATGATGCCAGTGGAACCCGACTTTCACGGGCTGATGACTTCATGCCCGATGGCTTCATGAGATAGGACGGTATGCGAGAAGATGGGGCAGCCATTTTCCATTAGATAGGGCCGCCGTTTTCGTCACTGTCATTGCAGTACACAAGACAGCGTGTTTAGCATGGTGCAGACAACACGCGCCTTGTACCAGACTTCAGCGGAACACCGTGCCTTTTACACATGAGTCGAGATTGAGCCTGGACACTGATTCTCGGCATACCTGGATCTTGACAGGACCTGGAACACGATACCACTTCTCTTTCATCAAGAAAAGGATTATTACGAGGGTGACGGTGTACGGTGGTTGGGGAACTGTGGTGGAGGTTATGTTGGCCTGCAGCACCCTCTTGCATGTGTTTGACAAAGGTTCCTTGAGTGCTATGAGATACAGGTATGCGATATTAGTGCCCTATGCTCGACTTTTCAGGGGCACAGTTGGTCCTGGATTCCTGTTAAAGGACGACAAAACTTGTCCACGTAGGGCTAAGATGGTCGACGATTACTTGGAAAGTGAGGATATTCGCTTCATGGATTGGTCAGCCAGATCTTTTGACCTTAGCCTTACAAAGCCCATTTGGGACGCTCCAGAGAGAGCAATTTCATCTTACCATCACCTTCCGAGAGCTATCCCGGAGGTGAAAACTGCTTTGCCGTAGGAGCGGGATCGACTGCCACAGGGACTTCTCAAATGCCTCCTATCCGGTGCGCCATTACACTGCGCGACCTGTTTAGCTATGAGAAGATACCATACCCCATACTAGACTCATTTTAACGTGGATTTTGGGCATTCCTGCATACGCATGATTATGATTATGAAGCCCAAAGGCAGCTTTACTGAATATCATGCGTATATAAAATAACTTTTGAATGGTATATCACTTTCACTGTTATAAATGTATATTCATACCAAATTTCATCAGAAACTCGAGATAATGTGCATATTCTCTTAATTCTGCATACGAGTATATATATATATATATATATATATGATTTAGAAACTGATGACACAGAAGATAAACGACTTGTAAAGTGACAGTATTTGGCGCATGAAAGGTAGTAACAACGTACCGACCGATTTAAATATTTCCTTATTCTTTTTCATAAAAGTTATTTTAAGCCTGTAGAGACATTAGGTTAATTGGAAAAGCCGAAGAGATGAAAAATGAGCAAACGCCTTCACCGGGAATCAGACCACGGACTTCTGAAATACCGGCTCAGTGTACTGACCACTACACCACGAAGGCATGCCAAGAAGGTGGGAGAAATACCTTATAAGTTAACACAGAAAAATTGGCTGAACATTAGCCTGTTCTTGAAGAACTACATGGGTACTGTTTGCAGTTTTGAAAATGCAGACAGACAAAGTTCAGACTAGCCAGAAAAGAAGCGAAGAGTGAATGCGCCGTGTCATGTGCGTCATTAGCTTTATGAAAGAATAATATGATATGGATAAAATTAGAAAGGACGCAGTTTAGATAAATTTAATGTAAGAAGATAATATTCTTAGAATGGAGAGGGGAAATAGATAAATTAAAATCGAGAGTTAAGGGACTATTTCAAAATTTTGGTTTACATATTTTTTATCTTTGATGTATATATGTATCTTTCTTTTTATAAGACGCCAGACTGAAATAAAAATTAGCTTAAAAATAATTATGATTAAATTAGGACAGTATTTATGACGAATGCTTCTAGAAAAATTTAAAAAATAATTAAAGTTTGATAGATGATTTAAAACTAAAATGCTTGTACTAAAACGTATTACCGAGGAATGCATCTTAAAAGCATCCTCAGAACTTAACACTGTGCCTAAAGAATTCCATTACATTAGATCTTTAATCACTTTAATAAAGTTTAAAATTTAGAGAATTTTGTCACTGTGTGTTATGAAGAACAATGGATTCTGAAATATATTTACTGGATATGGAACATGTCAAGGACACAAGATTTGATAATATGCCTGTGCGTTATCATATACCGTTTACTGCTTTGTTTTAATGCAAGTAAAAATAAAAAAATAAATAAAAAAAAAGAAAAGAAAACACTAAGCTGTGTTTAAAGTTATGTTTATTATTACTAACTTCTTATCCATGAACTTCATTCATTCAAGCTTCGCTGAATTTTCTTAACCTGGTTTACCTTGATTTTTCCAACCTCTTTCTCCCCACCCTTTGGTCGCTTTCGCAGCAGAAGAGAAGCTGAGGATCATTTCATTGGTTGCCTTGAAATGTTACGGAAAACACGGGAAACAGAACAGAAACAATAAATGTCAATAATCTAATCGGCCCTGACAGAATACGTAACAGATATCAAATAGCTTTGGATACTCAGATAGTCATGGAGTGGCCCAAAGGTAGGAAACATTTGATGATATTTTTAGAAACCTGCATAATGAATCTGTCAAATAAAAATAATGGTGCATTATTTATCATTTCGATGCATTTATGCTTTGTGTGTACTATACATGTGAAAAATATTTTACATTGATTGACGTATGGTATAAAATCAATATTACACTCAAAAATTAATGTAGAATAGTTTATTTCTTTCAGATAATGAAACATTTTTTTGAAGTTTTTGAATGCGTGGTGGACGTGCAAATAAAATACATTATACTAACTCCATGCTATTTTCTATTGAAAATTTGTGCTAAAATTGCATAAATACAGTAATATGTAGTGGGTTGCTCTCAATTCAGAATGAATGATATTATTAACCTACGTAAAGAAAAAAAAATATTTACATTTGAAAATTGAATTTCTATTTTTACTCGAAATCTTCATTAAGGTAATTATTTATTTTAAAAACATTTTTAAGAAACACTTTTACGAAATGTATTATTATATGTAATTAATGCTTCGAAGATTTTATAATACACTTATATCTAATATGAAAGCATCTATTATCATTAAAATTCCTTTAAAACATTCTGATGTGTGGCAAATTCATATTCATACATCAAAATAAGTTTAAATTAAATTCTATTTATCAAATCCTAAAAGACAAAATTTCACCAAGTGGGAGAAAATTGCCTTTAGCGGGAAATGGAACTGATGTCAATAATTACAATTTATTGGTACATTTGCCGTTCATCTGTTGCAGTTTCCATCTAGTGATTTCACTGTTATTTCCTTTTTTTTTGACTTTTTATCAGGATTAAGTATTTTTTATACTCATTTATAACTGCTAGTATAATAAAAATTAAGAGATTTCTGAAGTCACATTATGTACCTAGACAATATTCATATTATTGTACCTAGGCAATAGTCATCTGTACATATATATCTATGCACATTCTGTTGCATGCATAAGTCTGCATCAAAAATGTAATCTAATAATTATAATGAACTCGTGCAACGAAATGCTATCAGTTACAATCGTCAAACTTTTTTTTGATAATTGTATTTAAATGAAAAGACTTAGTTTAATGACGAGAGAATTATGGTTTTCATTAGAAGCGAAAAGTAACTCTGCAATTTTCTAAAAGTATTCGTTTCTCACGGTTTATTTATCAGCAAAGTTTGAGTGCAAGCATGCCGGTCTAAGAGTTGCTCCAGGTTTTGAAAAGCCTTTCATTATTTGGACGTATAGGTGCAAGATTATTTGCTTCATTATTTTTTTCTGCGTTAAGTGCTCTAAAAATGGGAAATGCAATCTTTTCTAAATGTTTGATATCTTCTAAGTATCTAATATGGTAACAAAAAATAAATAATTGTCTTGCAATGTATGAAACACATTTTTACAATGAAAAAGTTATAGACTGCATATAATTAGATAACTTTCAAAATATTTCGATATTTCATACCGGTAGCTTCATGTGAAAATACAATGGCCGAGAAAATTATATACGTACGCAGCTGAATGAAATCTGAACTATGGTTGAATGCAAAGGGTACTTGCAAAAATCAAGAAGTATATTATAAATAAATTATATTAATTCATTTCTGAAAAGAATACAGTTTTACAGTGGTTCTCATTTACTTCCAGACATCTGTGTTTGTTTATTTATTTACCAATATGAACCTCTAAGTATTGTTAACATGACTTTTTTTTTTTTCACATATACTACTGATCCTCTAGTTGAAACCTGCTTGTTCTGAATGAAATTATTTAAAATATTTTTGGTAAAATAATAATAAGAAGAATTTATCCAAAACATTCATAAAATGAACTCGCATAAATATTCACACACCTTAAACAAACAGTTTATATTTAAACAAAACATGAAAATAATGGGTGATTCAGTATTTCGTTGGGTATCCTTTAGCTAAAATGATACTTTTCATGCGCTTTACCATGGATTCAACTAAGGTATTTGTGTAAGAATGCTTCATTTCTTCTATTCCCACGTATGAATTTATTTTAGCAGATTTTTCGAAGAATTATCCTGTTTTCTTATTTTTTTCTTCAGTTCATTTCTTGCATGTTCGATAGGATTTAAGTTCGGAGAGTATTTAGGAGTTCCGGTAATTGTAAGATATTTTTCTAATAATCACAAGCAAATGCTTAGAAGTTTTGGTAATTTTAAGACATTTTTATAATTATCGCAAGCGAATATTTAAGGGTGTACGTTTAGGATCGTTATTATGATAGAATATGAATGTCTTTCGAATTTATATTATTTTAGATAAACGTTAAATTTCTTATTCCAAAGGGGGCGAAACATTCCCAAATCATTACCACCGTACATAGTAATAGACAATAGATTCGACGTTTCTGCAAACAAAACATTGTTCCAATATCACAAAACTTTGCTTACTATAGATTTTGCGTAGGCCAGGATTATTTTCCTTGTTTTCCTGTTGACAAAGAATTTTCTTCTTGCTGATTGTCCACTATAACCATATGCCATTAATGTCTCTTCTAAAAGCTTCAGAGTTAACTTTTTATTGAAACCATTCTTCTAAATTTGGTAAACGTTTCACAGTACTAATTTTTTAGCTCATGCCTAATTTTTCACAAAACAAATCTGCAATTTCCTGGCTTTAACTTGGAATGTTGTCCAGACTTTAAGTCATTTCCAGTGGTTGCATACAATTTGCATCGTTGTATAACATCACAGATAACCGAATTGCTTTACATCAACGATGTCTTGGATATTTCGAATACTTTTACCATCTTCAAAAATATGAATTATTAAATTTCTAGTATAATTGGTAGTTAGTTTGTCACGTCTTTCCATGTTCTTCACATACGGAAATATTAATATATTTTTCCAGGCAAGTAATAATTTCCAAATGCAGGTGATTCTTGTGAGCATTTTTATTTAAAACAAAAAATTGCAACAAGAAACATTGTCTACCAAAACATTTCAACAAAATATAATTATTATGTAAGCTACTCATTAACACTTTTTAAACAAACTATTGTTTTGTAAGGAATATTTTGATGATATTTAATTTACAAAAAGCAAGGCTTAAAGTAGAAAAAAACAATATATTACAAAAACATTTGAAGTCTGTGTTTCAATATTCAGTTCGAGACCTATAAAAATGAATTTCAAATATATAAGTATCCAAAGACAAATGTGAGCGACTGTAGCTCTCCCTTAAATGCAAAAGTGAATGACATTCCTAATACATGTTTTAAACGATACATTATAGTTACTTCGAATCGCAGATGATATTTTAATCTGAAAAGCTCATAACACTGCTAAAAATGCAAACAAATTTCTAAACACTTCAAAATATGTCGATCGCTATACAAATTTATTATAAAGAGTGATTCCCGCCCCTAAGATTTTATATAAATCCCATGCCCTTTGTAAATTTTTAATGCAATTTCAAGGGAATTTGTGAGTAGGAAAGAAATCATTTAAAATGTTACTATTCATGCTTTACGCGTGATCCTCATTCAAGTCACAAGCAAAATTTTAAGTACAACAAGCATTATATTTGATGACAAAAGCTTCCATATACACATTAATGCGTTCCAAATACTTAAAAAGTTTGCACAGAGTTTAACTGCATAAGATAATTCTAACAGATTAAAGACAGCATTTGTAAAAGACAGAGATTTCTGAAGCTACTTCATCGTTTACAAGTTCAAGGCCTATTTTTTTTAATAAGCCATTTTAAACCGTTACTTTTAGAAGCTGAGAAATGATGTTAACGTGCCATTGAGTGTCAAATCCAGCCTACTTCCATCGAGCCTCATTCTGGTTTTTCCTTCAGGACAGGTGAATAACCTTCTCATTTTCATCACCGGCATTTGGAGCAAAGAATGCGATGGATGCCATTTAACTCTCTTTTATTGCATTTTACGTAGTCAGAGTCGTTAGTGGCTCGACCTGTTGAATACAAATCACTAACGGCATTGAAAAAAATGTTCAGACGCATTTATGAAAGTTTACGAATTATGTTTCAATGAAAAATCACTTTCTTTTTTAAGGAAAAAAAATATGTCATAAAAGAAGAAAATAAGAAAGAATAAACTTACACTCGAATAAATAAACTAAGTAAATGAAGTATAAACTTAGGCATAAACAAATAAGTAACATACACTTAAATAAAGAAACTAAGAAAGAATTTATTTTTTGTTTGAAAAAAGAAAAATAAATGCATCCAAAAGTATGTATACCCGGTCCCCGATTTTCAAACGAAATGCGCTTCTGAGAACTATTTTAGGCGGATTTGTTGGCAACATGGATCTCTGGTGAACTGCTTATAAGCGGTAATAATAACATAACGGCTTATGTGTGGCAATATTAGTGCAACATAATATAGCAATAATAATAAGACTACTGAAGTGTAATAATATGTTTCAGAAACTAGTGTGAATGTTCTTTTAATCCAAGCAAACAGAACGTAAAGGAAAACTCTTAAATAAAGATTGATGAAGTTTAAAATAAATCGATTGAACACTAAGTTAATATTGCCTCAATAATTTAGACATTGAAAGAAATATTTTTTAATTATAAAATAAGACAGAAGATTAATCAGAAGCTTATGGTTAATAAGAAGTTTATTGCTTATGGTAGCTTATGGGTACAGCGTATGACAACGGGGTTACAGAGGATAACGTAGCTGTTGGAGAATCAGCACTAAATTGGCTTGGAAAATTGTCATGAGTTCAAAACATACACTACCAAAGACGAAAGCGATACTGTGTATAAAAGACCATATGAATAACACTACAAGTTACAAGTAACTACTACTTTGAAGAGGCTGCAGCAAGAAATTCCTTAAGCCAGGGTAGTCAACCTGGTCCCTACAGCCACTAGTAAGCGATTAAGCTTTAAATGGCGGGAGGTAGAGGCTTTAGTCCGTCAGATGAAAGTCCGTTATCTCTTAGGTGTTGTTCTGAATCTATAGAGGTAATAATGGGATTATCACATCTTAAAAAAAGAGGCTA